AGAAGCACTGATTTCACACATTAGAACATCAGTGTTCTTGTACAAGAACTTGCAGCCAGTGTAGACAGGGGGCAAGTTTTTTGAAAAAGCAATTGCTTTTGCGCCAAATCATGCCAGTGTAGACATAGCCTGCTTGTATCAAACTGAGGACCCGAGGACACCACTCCTCCTCCTCTTCCTTCCTCATATTTGCTCAAATGGAAACTCCTTTGAAAGCTACTCATAAAACGTTTTTCTCTTTGATTCCCCAGACTAATGCTTTGTCATTGGTAAATAATCTATAGCTACTTCTAAGCCTTTTTACAAGTAATATTGTTTGGAAACAGGACATATGGAATTATGGCATTAAAGAGATTCACAGCACTTCCCAACTTTGCAATCTGTGACTGGCACTATTACAAACAGGCATCTTGCCAAAGATACCATTTTATATTAAAGAGAGATCAGCCCACATGACAGCAGGTATGCCTGAGCCAAGTAAAATGAGTTAATATATTTTATAGCATATCAGAATTAATATCTTCTGCTCTCTCAGGAGCAGTACTTCACAGTATACTTTTTTCATTCTTTAGTGTTCTGAGCAGATATCTAAAAGTGGAGCATCCTTCCCAATGGAGTAATGGTTTTTCCCTCCCACCTATCCCAAGACATATTAACAAGCTAATGGAATATGAGAGATGCAGATTGATGGGTTGAGATTGTTTTGATGATGAACTGGATGCTTGGATACTGATAAATTCTCTCCTGTCTATGTAGTTTATGTATCCACACATGCACCTCCCAATGTTTTTTCTCTAGTTTTCTTTTTTATTGTCTGAACACTAACATTTCCGGAAAGGCCTTTGACAAGGTGATGGCTTCCTCTGCCTCTAACCTTACCCCGATTCTTTGCAAAAAATATTTCTTCCCACAATACAATATTACCATAGAGTGAGCTAATTCGGTGCACCCACTGCAATTTGATCTGATATGACATTCACTGGGTGTATTCAATGAATGCTATATGCCAAGGTGACAGAATGAGGT